CTGTACAATTGCACCCATTTCACATGCTAGCAAGGTTATGCTCAAAATCCTCCAAGGTAGGCTTCAGCAGTATGTGGACCAAGAACTCCCAGAAGCAGAAGATGGATTTTGAAGGACAGAGGAACTAAAGACCAAATTGCTAACATGCGCTGGATTATGGAGAAAGCCAGAGAGTTCCAGGAAAACATCTACTACTGCTTCATTGACTATGCAAAAGCCTTTGACTTTGTGGACCACAGCAAAGTATGGCAAGTCTTTAAAGAAATGGGAGTGGCTGACCACCTTATCTATCTTCTGAGAAATCTATTTGTAGGACAGAAAGCAACCGTTAGAACTGGATATGGAACAACTGACTGGTTCAAAATTGGGAAAGGGGTATGACAAGGCTGTATATTGTCTCCCTGCTTATTTAACTTATATGCAGAATACATCATCCAAAAGGCAGGACTGAAAGAATCCCAAGCCGGAATTAAGATTGCTGGAAGAAATATTAACCTCAAATATGCAGATGATACCACTCTGGTGTCAGAAAGTGAGGAGGAATTAAAGAACCTCGTAATGAGGGTGAAAGAGGAGAGGACAAAAAAATGATCTGAAGCTCAACATCAAAAAAACTAAGATCATGGCCACTGGTCCCATCAGCTCCTGGTAAATAGAAGGAGAAGATATGGAGGCAGTAACAGATTTTACTTTCTTAGGCTCCATGATCACTGCAGATGGTGATAGCAGCTACGAAATTAAAAGACACCTTTCCTTCTTGGAAGGAAAGTGATGACAAACCTAGCATTTTAAAAAGCAGAGGTATCACCTTGTCGAAAAAGGTCCACTTAGTCAAAGCTATGGTTTTTCCTGTAGTGATGTATGGAAATGAGATCTGGACCATCAAGAAGGCTGACTGCCACCTTTTGAATTGTGGTGCTGGAGGAGGCTCTTGAGAGTCCCCTGGACTGCAAGGAGAACAAACCTGTCCATTTTGAACGAAATCAAGCCTGAGTGCTCACTGGAAGGACAGATCCTGAAGCTGAGGCTCCAATACTTTGGCCATCTCATGAGAAGAAAAGACTTCCTGGAAAAGACCCTGATTTTGGGAAAGGGTGAAGGCAAGAGGAGAAGGAGACGACAGAGGACGCGATGGTTGGACAGGGTCATCAAAGTTTAACAACATGAATTTGACCCAACTCCGGGATGCAGTGGAAGAGAGGAGGGCCTGGCATGCTCTGGTCTGTTGGGGTGACAAAGAGTCGGACGCAGCTTAATGACTAAACAACAACAGACAGAAAAGAGCAACAGCGAGCACATTCAGGGTAAGTAGGAAAGAAGAAAATCTTCTGTAGGACTGTGAATGTGTATTATGTGTCCATCAATTTAAGAGTGTTGTGATTTTGTTCACTGACAGAACTCTGAAATCTGATCGTGCTGAGTAAGAGTATGTTTTATTTATTTATTTATTTATTTAATTTATACCCCGCCTATTTGTTCCAAATTTCTTCCAAGAAACTCAAGTGACAAGCGTATCATTCCCCACCCCCACCCCCATGTTATCCTTGCAATCAACCCCGGAGGTAGAGGGAGTCACTGAAGCAGAGTCATCCAGTGAACAGCACAGCCAAACGGGATTTCACACCCAGATCTCCCTGACCCAAGCGGAACAATTTGCCCAGGGCCTTGTAGTAAGAGCCAGGTATGCCCATGGATCACATTTAGGAAAACAATAACAAAAACCCTGTTCAATGCTACCCCCGATGCTGTTGGGTGGCCCACCAAATGCTGCTCTCCCTTAGACTTCCTGGGTCGCTGAAGGGCCGAACGGGTCTCTTTTGAGCCTGGACACATCTGCTGTGTCGGACGGCAAGTGCATTTCTGTTACCATGGATGGGAACATCGACCATCTCCCCCTCCCCAGAAGAGTGGAAAAACTGGGGAAGGGAAAGTTAGGTGGAAGCTGCGGACTCTTTGGCGATCCTGATGTGTGCCCGTGCAGCGGGGTGGAGGGTGGTGGACGGGGGGGGGAGTCTTCCCTAGCAAGCGAGCTGCGCGCCCCCAGAGCTTTGCTCAGATAACCGGATCGCCTTTTAAAGTCCCGCCAGATTCGTTGCTGAGACAGAAAGAGAAAAGGGCGTGAGGGGATTATTTTTAAACTCTCCCTCGCAAAGGAGCCTTTGATGCATTATTCATGAGGCAGAAAAAAGGCCGGAGTGCTGATGTCAGTCAGGAAGTCGGGAAGCGGAGAAGCCTCGCTGCTGCTGCTGCTGCTGCAGCTTCGCCTGCTGCAGAGCGAGTGAGTGAAAGAGAGCGAGCGAGCGAGAGAGAGAGACGGAGCATCAGGGTGCAGCATGCTGCCTGGCTCCCGTTCCAATTCCAGCCTCTTCAGCAGCGGCGGCGGCGGCGGCAGAGAGAGAGCGAGACGGAGCATCAGGGTGCAGCATGCTGCCTGGCTCCCGTTCCAATTCCAGCCTCTTCAGCAGCGGCGGCGGCGGCGGCATCGGCATTGCTGAGGCCAAGAGCGCAGGGCCAAAGGGGCACCCTAAGGCGGCGGCGGCGGCGGCGCTGGTGGTGGTGGAGGAGGAGGTGGAAGAGCAGGGAACAGCATGGGTCGCTTGCGGGGCGGCGGCAGCGGGGGCGCCTTCTGGCTCCTGGTCCTGGCGGCGGCATGCCTACTGCAGCGTGCCCAGGTGAGGAAGCCGGTCCGATGCCCGGCCAAATGCACCTGCACCAAAGAATCGATCATTTGCGTCGGGTCGCCCAGCGTGCCGCGAAGCATCCCCAGCGACATCAGCTCCTTGTAAGTCGAGCTCTGCGTG